TGTTCTCTAAATACCCTAATTTTATGACGAACATGCATAAAAATGAAAAGTCCCCGAAATACGTTAAAACTCCAAAAAGTATTTTTTATGAATATTTCAAAAATCACCCAAAACATGCCTTACTATAGCCTTACCATCGTGAAAAAATCCATAAAAATGAAAAATCCCCGAAATGCCGTACAATGCAAGATTATGTCCTAAAACATGCTGTCAGGTGAATATTTTGTGTTTAAAAGGCCAAAAAGTATTTTATATGAATATTTCAAAAATCTCCCAAAATATGCCTTACCATTGTGAAAAAATCCAAATTTGTTTTATAAAATTACAAAAATTCTTTACATAAAATTGTTTATTTGGGATGTTTTATATCATCTTCTATCAGAAAGCGCATAATATAGTTCAGAATTTTATTCAAAATCCTAGCAAAATGTTTTTATTTAGGGTTCTTTTTGGTGTACAAATTACTGGCTAAGGTTAAGTTTTATGAGAATTAATTGAATTTTATTGAATTTCTAGATTTAGATTTACAGTGTTTTAATTATAGCCTCGCTTTTTTTTTTATATATGTTCCCAGTAACGCTAAAGATTTTTCTGAAAGAGAAACAACAAACAATGGGCAGGTTTGTAATTTCAGTTACTTTTTAATTACATCAAATGGGTTTATGTAAAAGTGGAAAAGGAGAACAAACTGGGAGTTTCATCAGCATCACTTACAGTACACTGCAGTCTGCTCAGATTCAGATTCATGACCAGACTGGACTTTGATTCTCCAGACAGCATGGCAAGAACATGGAAGAACATGTTTGACCGTGAAACTTTTTTCTGGATGATCATTTATTTCAGGCTACGATGAAAGATGACGTTCAGTGTGTCTTGGTTTAATGACACTGACAGTATCGACACATCTGTCATGCATGACTGGCTGACACCAGAAACCAATCACAGCACAGTCACTGTTTCTATTTCTTTCAAGAGTTTATCTTTTGTCATCCTGGGGGATAAAAACAACGGGCGGAGCGGACACTACTCCGATGTGATTGGACAAAAGAAGCGAGGCGATTGGCTGAGTGATTGCTCTGTGCAGATTGTGATCTTTTAAAAGTCTGATAGTCAGAGACGTTTGTGCGTCATGCTTTGAACATGTGTGTGTGTGTGTGTGTGTGTGAATACATAACATTTTTGCTTGTGCTGCCCGTTATCGATCATATGGTGAGGGGCCAAAAAAAAAGAAAAAAGAAAAAGGTCGGTCTCACATGGAAGATTTTTTGTCTTCGTTTCCACTCGTCATTTTGGCTGCTGGGCAACATTGGCACTTTAATCGTCCGACACACTAAAGGACACATGGCAGTCTTTATAGAAATAATAAAAAGAAAACTGTCACTGCAACATTTGTCAAAAGTCTTTTGGTTTCCTTGATTCAAGGAAGAAAAAAAAAAACAGAGCAAGAAGAAGCTTTTCTCTAATGAGGACGTGTCCTGGATTTAGGAAGGAGAAAAAGAACAACCACGTAGATATACAATCGTTTCTCACTGCAGCCCGTCACAGCAGATTAAAGTCTACTAGGTTTCTGACACACTGATCCGAGGCTGAACTCCCCCTCTGAGGCCCCGGCAAGAAGAGAGAAGAGGGGGGAAGGAAAGGAAGAAAGAAACAAGTTAGAAAAGTGAAGAAGACGAGTTTCTGAAAAACCAAGAAAAAAAAAAGCAGGTCTGGGTCTGCATGCAGAAGTGGGGAAGGATTTCAGCGTGACACCGAAGCCATGCAGCAGGAAGTAGAAGGACTTTAGGGTGAGTTCATGTTCATCTTTACAAAGAATGGGGGAACGGGGGGGCACAGCAGCAGGGAGGAGGAGGGGGGACAGTGAGAACCTGCACAGAACCCGAGGGGCGGGGTCCACTCAGAGGCACGTGTGAAAGCAGCCCATAAGTCATGCGGTCTAAAGCTGACAGACTCTGGAGGTCGAGGGGGGGGGGGAGGCACCCCCCCACCCGCCCGCTAACCCATCGTTCCTCACTCACCACGCGCTCGCAGCACGGTACCACACAGACCAGGGTGGGTGTGTGTGAGTGTGTGTGCGGCGGAGGCGGGGTTTAGCAGCTTTGCTGCGTGGCCCCCCCGCTCCTGCTTTTAGACTTTCTGCCTTCCACATCTGTAGGACAAAGGTAACGTTCATGTTACGTCTGTAGATGGCGACACAACAACAACAACAACAACAGGAAGATAAATAGGCGGGAAAGCAACAAAACAAAAAAAGCTGAAATAAATAAAGGTGTTGACGGATCGACTGTACTATCAACGCATGATAACGCAGTGCTTGTCTTTGATTATAAGTTAAATTCTTCAAAACAATCTGTACACGATCTTGTCACTCTAAAAGTCAAGTATTAAACATTCTATAGTTATACTGGGACAGAAGGGCTGAATAAAATATATATATATATTTAAAAAAAACAACCAAAATCACATTTAATCCTTCAACAAAAAAATAAAATACCTGACCGACTCAACCACTAACTCGCTGTAACAAATCAAACTTTCATTAACCTGCGTTTAACCTCTACTCAAACATATGCACGTATAATTTGGCTCCGATCTTTCCTTCGACCTCCTGCTAATTCAAATCGTAACCATTCTTTCCTTCAACCAACCAAACCAAACGTTTGTGATTCGTCACTGGACACCAAGCCACACCCACTCCACTCGTAAAGCAACGTGTAACATACCAGGAGGAAATGTAAAAGAACCGTGTTCCTCACAGACCGTACATCTGAAATGGACATCAACCTGGCTGTAGTGAAGTCAAGTTCAAAAGTTGCGCCTTTCCTTCGGAAAGTTGTGATTTACAAAAACATTTACCCCTAAATGGGATCAGAGTGTACATCAATATAAATACTGCATTCTTAAAGGGCCAATTCAAGTATTTTATTGGCTGAATTCATGCTATAAAGTGAAATTAATTTAATTTAATTACAGGACAACATTGTCCAGTCCAGAGCCAGACGTGGGCCCTGGGCCAGAGGTTTGGAACCCCTGCTCTTCAATCAGGTGAGAACTTTTATTCCTGGGGTTTCACTCATGACCAGGACGAGTGTGTCCATTTCTGCGGTTCTTCTACGTCCGGTGACACCACACCCCCACTCCCACTCACACAGAGAAAACCCAGCAGTTAATAAATGAAAAAACAAACAAGCAAAACGACTGTGAAATATACAAAGATGTCACGTTAAAAACAAAGACCGTACGCTAGAAATGGACACAGCCATCGGTTCATAAGTGGAGCCTCAATATCTGCCAAAATCTCTGAGTAAATATATTTGTGTGTTTCGTAAACAATGATCCCGTTGAGAGAAATAAACACTGTAAAGCACTTCTGATGAAAGCGGATGTCTGGGCTGTAACAATTAACAACAACTTTTTATAATTAAATAATCACTTAAATGTGATCTGTGAACAATAACCAAATGTTGTGATTATTCAATTCTGGAAAAGTAAAAATCACATGCAGCCCTAGTGGACACAATGTGCAACTGACAGCATCCAACAGGTGGTTTTTTCACAGCACAGCGGCTCCATCCATTTCTTATATACTGTCTACGGTTCTACAGAGTCAACAGGAACCAAAACGACTAGAAACAAAAAACATTTTGATCACCTGATCAAAATCTGTGTTTTGTTTGCTGATGGAACAAAGCCATGCAGAAAAGCGACAGTGAAAAGCTTTCGTTTGAAGAACACGCTCTCGTGAGCATTTATCCCACAATGCCTTGCTCCCAGCTCTGACTTTAAGAACCCTTCACATCAGTCAACAGCGTTGGAACTGAGAACTGAACTGAAACCCAACTTGTCACTACATCAGTCCACAGCGTTGTAACTGAGAACTGAACTGAAACCCAACTTTAAAGAACCAAACTGGACAGAAAAATGGGTCAAAACAGGAAGTGATGAAATAAAGCAAAACAAAAACCCGAACAACCAATCAGCAGTCAGCAGCAAGACAAACTGAAAAACCAAAACAAAACCAAGACACCACACAGACAGAGACGGAGCTCTGATCAAAACATGCAGCAGGTGAGGTTAGAACATTTATCCATCTGTTCATTCTTTAAAGTCAGGTCTGGTTTGATGAGCAGATGGTTCCAAAACTTTCTTCACACACATCCATACTCATACCACAGCGACTGGTTCTCCTCTGGACTCAGAGACTCCCCTGAGTTACTCACACCATTGGGCTCCACGCTGAACCCCTGAAGACCGACGGGTTCAGATCCCGTTTGACCGTTTGATTGACAATGAGGGGCCGGGTTTTGGGGCGGTGTCATTGGGGCAGTCGGGGCTTTGTTAATCAGAGGCGGACCGCTAATGTTGCTGACGAGGGAGGGGTTTAGAGACAGGAAGGGGAGGTTCTTAGCACCGGACTCGCTAAAAATAGAGTCCATGAAGACGGACTCTGCAGTGAAGGAGGGGCCGAGGAAAGACTCGAGGGTGGTGAGGTCGGGTTCCTCCAGGTGGTGGCAGGGTAGGCTAAGTGACTTTGGCATTGGAGGAGTGTTGGTGCTGGTGTTAAGGGATGCTGTAAAGGAGCAGGATTTGTGGTGGTACTCACTGGATGAAGGCTGAGGGCGAGCTCCAGGCTTGGTGGAAGTGACGGGAGGCGAAGCGTCCACGGACACGGGCAGACGATTGTCCTTGGAGAGCAGGTCGTGGATGCTGGTGCGCCGTGTGGTGCCTTCAGCCGTGGAGATGACGCTGCTGGCTCTGGGTAGAGTTGAGGACGCGGAGGATGCGGAGTCCAGACGGTCAGAGACAGACATGGCTTTGTTCTGGGAGGACAGGCTGGAGCGGACCGGGACGGAGCCTTTCACACGAGTGCTCTCCGCCTTCCTCAGGGTCGGACGTCCCGGTTGCGCCGAAGACCTGGGAGGTCGCTCAGAGCTGGCAGGTGCAGCTCTGCTGCTGGAGGAGCGCAAAATACCCCGGCCTTTGGTGACGCGTTCTTTCTCTTTGGGCTCCGAGGACGTGGAGAGACGAGGGGAGTCTACGGTGAGGTTCTCCAGACTGCCAGACTGAAACAAGACCACCAAAGACTCCGTCGATGAAATGATTTTTATAAAGCAGAGACTAAAACAAGACCACCAAAGACACCATGAAATGATTTTTATAAAGCAGAGACTTTGAGCTAAATAAAAACCTGAGAATCTATATTGCAATATACTGCCATACCGTAGATACAGCCATACATTACAAACCTCCGCAGGATCGATGCCCTCGTCCAGGAACTGTTGCAGTGAAAGAACCTCGTTTCCCGGGGACCCCGTCTTCCTGATCTGGTTCTGGCCAGGGCTGCCAGAACCAGTGGACGGGTCCAGAGAGCGGTGCAGCTGCAGGGGGCTCTGGTGGGAGGAGCGTGAGGAGGTGGGCTGCTGGACAGGACTGCTGCCGCTGCTGGACCACACCTCCTGGTCCAAACTCAGACTGAACTCTCCGCTGCTCTCGCTGTGGGGTCGGCTGACGCTGCCGTTCAGTGTGCCTTAGTAGAACCAACGAGGCAAAGATCAAGTCAGAGAGGAGAGTAATAACAAACAAAAAAAAAACCTCTCTGTACTGCATTTGAACTGCAGTATTTCCCCAACAAATCCAAATGCAGTTACAGCAGTTACTCCAACAGTTCCGACACACATCATTCACCGGAGCAGGAGGTGCGTACCTTTTCCCTCCAGAGGAGAGGTGAGGTGCGAGTTATTGTGACTATTATTACTGGTCCTGTTGCTATGGAGACTGGAGGGCCTGGTAGCTGAGTAAGATAGACAAAACAATGTGCATGTAAATATACAGTTAGGCTAAACTGTACTGTATACATACAAAAATACTCTACTGTACTTCAACCGTGGAACTCAACGCTCTCATTCCAGGAAATTAATTAGTTAAAGAGAAATTAAAAATGTGTAAGAAAGAGTGAGTGGTTGTTTTGACACCGGCTCTTGGCCGACACACACACTCACACACACACTCACGTCTTCCCACCAACATACACTAACACAAAGAGTGACACGTTGCCACGACGTTAACAGTTTGATAGAGCGCCTCCTGCTGGGACAGCAGATGGCGTACGCCAGGCACGAGGACAGAAACCAAGGCTCCGAGCCAGGCTGTGTCCTCAATATGTCCAGTTGGTAAACAACAACAATTGAAAGAACAGGCTGAGACGTCGGTGTCCAAGGAGGTCTCCTTATGGACGACTGATGGAGACCAAACTGAAGAACAAAAGGATGGTCAATGCAACGGCAGCCAATCGTTGGCGGCTTTTCAAACACACTTGAAAAAAAACAGAGATGTCGCTGCACGACCAGTGAATATTTAATAGGATGAGAACACAGCCACACACCCTTAGACCATGACAGGTTCACAGGTTCAACTCAGTGTTGATTAAGCAGCATTTAGCTTAGGTGTGAAAATGAAAAAGGAAAGACTAGAAGGTGGTTTGTTTTGTGCTGAAAACCCATGAAGTCCTTTTTCCAGTGGTTTCAGAGATGAGAGTAAAAAAAAAAAATAGAATTTTACACCAACTTTTACAATGTGAAACAGCCTGAACGACTGTGGCCCAGATTCAGATCAAGAACCAGGACTTACTACAGAAGCCACAGAGAACTCTGCGGCTAAGGTTCAGCTCAAAAGGGGAAGGACACAGAGTCACAGCACTGCTGCACACCAGGCCTAACAGAAAACACAGGTTCATACTTTACAACATTGGTCACCAAAATAGGGGGCAGGCCCCGATCAGGGACATGGAGCTATTACTGCGCAGGCACGAAAACTCAAATGAAGTTTGATTTCCATATATTATTATTTGTACCAAAGTGTGAGAATTGCACTGATTTATAAAATTAATGTATTTGTTGAACGAGAAAAGCAGTAAAAAAAACTTTCAGTAAAGATTAACTGTAAAAAAAAATTACTGTAGAAACGACAAAAACACAGGAAACAAATTGAAACCACTCTCAGCATGTGACTGAAAAACTAATGCTGTATCTGCTGGTGTGAAAGGACGGATGCCCATTACCTTTAGCCATTACAGAGATGCACTGTACTGGAAATGGGTGTTTACAGCAGCGTCATGGATTTTAAAAGTGCATGATGGGAAGTCATTAGTCTGAGAGAGTCCACTTTCAGCAGTAAAGCTCTAGTGGTTTGCTGAAGAAACTATTTTCTGCTTTTTCTCAAACAGTGTCACAAAGGCCTTACTGAGAGTAGACCTTCACATATAAATGTTAGCTGGAGGTTTTACCTGGAATATTGGGCTCTTCAGGGGAGGCCGCCACATCCTCACAGGACACGTTATCTGTGAAACACACAATGATGACGATCAATGGACCATTTTCAACTATTTTCATCAAATCATTTCCTCATTTTTGATCCAAAAGTTAAACCTTTGATTTTTATCCGTAACCTGGCCCTGCTGCGTCCAGCAGAGGGCAGCGTTAGAGCAGCGCAGTCAATGGCGTTGGTGGAAAAGGCCAACTCCTTCATGCGCCGACCGCTGCGTCCGCTCCCGGGCGTCATGCTGCCGTCTCCAGCCTCGGCACTGTCCAGATACTCGGTGCTGCCCGGCCACTGTGACCCAGGACTGGCAGCCACTGACATGGTCTGCAGCAGGTCGTTCATGGCTGAGGGGGAGGAACATGACACGGACACGGTCGCGTGGACAGAAGAGAAGATTAAAAGAAAAATGTACATTTTAGAAATGTGATGATTCATGTTTGTCAAAGAGAATTTGCAAATAAAATTAGTAATTAAAAAATCAACAATAAACCGCCTGGTACAGCACACAGCCATGGAGCCAAACACACACACATACAGTATATATGAATAAGTGTGTGAAGCAGATGAGAGACACGGCGGCTGACGCTTAAATCATGCTGTGGGTAAAGACAGGA